TTTCTTTTTTTTTTTTTTTTTTTTTTTTTTTTTTTTTATATACATATTACATACAAAATTATTTTACTACATTTATTTGAACTAGTATTATATTTAATGGTTTTTTATACTATTTTTACTACTTTCTACTTTCTTTATATATTTCATTTATATCAGAAACCATTATATCTCTTATACTTATGTAATTTTCCTCCCTCATGTAGGGGAGTCGATTGTATTAAACCCTCTCTTCGGAGAGGAAACATTTGTTCAATATTGAATAAATATTTCGATATTAAGACATAAAATATTATAATACGTTAATATCTCGTCGTATGAAAGTTCAGAGAAATTGACACAAGGGAATCTCTTCTTGATAAGCTCGTTGACACCATTATGAACCATTGTAATAAATATTTTACTCATTTTATCATCTGGTACCTCGATCGTGTCTGCTACATACTCAAGCTCATTTAACCACGTATAAAAAATCATATCTTCCCCTAGTTTGAAAATATTCATCTTCAAAAGAACTTGAATTCGATAATATTATATATGTTTAATTTCGTGTAATAAATTCTCGTTGCACATTATATTCGAAATATAATACACTTTTCGTTACTTATTGATCGTAAATAGTTAATCTTTTAAAAATTAAGTCTTCGCACTTTTGTTTTGCTTTTATCACTCAACGCAATACACTTTTCGTAAAGTAATTCAGAAGACTTTTTACTTCAAAAAACGTATATATAATATATTATATTTTTTACACGAATATAAAAAACAACGATCTAGATGTTGAAATGAAAATTAAAGATTTTTTCAAGGAATTGTAAAGTTGACTAGAATAAACGATAAAAATTTCAATGAATAACTAAACGGTTAAACAAATGCTTAAAGACTAACTATTTAAATGTAATTGCTTCTAGATAGAAGTGTAAAGGGGAATTTATTTATCGTCCTACATTAGTCTTTGATAATGATAATAAAATAATAAATCTAGCAAGAAGAAGAATAAAATGTTCATAGAATCAACAGTTACTTTGTCATCATCTTACGATGTTATGATTTTATATATTAAAGAAATCTATGATAATATATAATGCTATTCTCATAATATTTTTTGATGAGTATTGTTTAATCTAACAATATTATGATAAATTTTCTAATAATGACCAGATTCGTTTTATTTTCACCCTAAAAAGTTCTAATTGAGGCCTTTTCCTGTATTACTCATAATCAGTTTTTACGTGAATGTGGAATTCTTTTTTTCCAGTCAATCTTACGAAAGGATATCTGACAAACCAAAAGTAGGAATTCCAATTATTTTAATGGTAGGTTTTTTGTGGATAAAGAATGTCTCAATTCACAAAAATACAATATATTATTATAAATAAAATACAAAAATACAAATATTAATGCAATAAGACTAGAACGCTGTTTGATTACTAAACGCTAATTGCCTCTTAAGATCTTTTATCTTTTATTTTGTTTACTGCACGCCATAAGAAACACTATTGTTATTCAACTGTTTAAATTTTTAGGCTTTTTTATTCTTGCTAGCGTTTAATACTCAAACTCTCTGTCGAGCACATACTTAAAATATATCTCACTCGTCCTCATACACATTACATACATATACCGGAAAGTTCTGTCCGTTTTTGAATTGAAAGAAAATCACAAAATTTTCATACATTTAATAATATTTATTGTAGAATATAATTTCCATCGTTATTTATGACTTCTTGCCAGCGTGATGGCAACTTTTAAATGCCATTTTTTTTGAATAATTTTTTTTTAGAGGCGAAAAACTCAACTAGTGCTTGATTTACATCATCTTCAGTTTCGAATTTTTTTTCCTGTATAAAATTTTGCAACGAGAAAAACAAGTGATAATCGAAGGGTGCAAGGTCTGGGGAGCATGGTTTATGTGACAGAATTTCCCAGCCTAGCTCTGCGATTTTCTGACGAGTCGCCAAAAAAGCATGTTGTCTGGCATTATCATAATACGGTATGACGTGCTTTCTATTGAATATTGCCGGCCTCTTTTCTCTTATTCCTTTATTTAAATCATCCATTTGCTTACAGTATTTATCCAAATTTAGCTTTTCATTAAGTTTTAAAAGCTTATAATGTATTGATCCTTGGATGTCCAACCATGTACACAACATTCTCTTCTTCAGGTTCAAGCTCGGCTTAGAAATGGATTGAGTAGGCTTTCCGGGCTCGCAATATGCTCTTATCCTCACGATGTTGTCGTATGTAATCCATTATTCATCACCAGTTATCATCCGGTCAAAGAAAGATTCGTTTTTGTACTGAGCAAACAGAGATGTGCATATGACGACTCGGTCATTCAAATTTTTTTCACTTAACTAGTGAGGCACCCATTTGCAATATTTATAGACCAATTCTGACTTCCGAATATGGTCGGAAATGGTTTGTTGAGTTGAACTTAGCTTCTCTGCAATATCCGATGTTGTCAAAAATGGATTTTGCTCTATCATAGTCTTGATAATGTCGTCATCCATCAATGACGGCCGTCCTGAACGTGGCTTATCATTAAGGTAAAAATCACCTGCGTCAAATTTTTAAAATCATTTTTTGCACGTTCTATCTGAAACTGCATCTAAACCAAAAACTTATACTAAATTTCGGAAGGCTTCTGTAGCATTTCTTCCTTGTTGGAGCTCGTAAAAAATACAGTGGCGTAAATGAACATTCTGGTAGTCATGTTTTCACGATCGCGTCTCACTTAGACCAATGACATGAGAAGGTTTTTTTCAGTTTACTTAGGAAAGAACATGTGTATAAATGCAATGACAACGAGAAATAGTCATATATGACTCAAATAAACGTGCTTATATCGATTATAACTTGAGGAGAAAAAATCGGACAGAACTTTCCTGTTGACATAATAAATTGTGTGCCTACTTAATACAAAATTTAAATTAATAACAATATCCTTCCAAACAACAATTATTATTTCTTATTTTACATTTCATTTTTACAAAAGATTTATTTCCAGAACAAATTTTTATGTTTTAAATATAAATATATTTCCTTAATTGTTAAGATCCAGAAATAAATCTTTTAATTATTTCGATAACGCGCAAGAATACTGTTTAAGGATAGAAACACGACTTATTTGCTCTCTTCATATTTTTTGTACCTTTGTCAATGTAATGTTTTAAAGCAGAACAGCTTTGTTCATAATATATTTCAAAGAACAATTTTACTATTTCGAAATATCTTGTGTTCGTAGAAGATCTTAAAGTAATGTGATATTTTTCGATTACGTAACTTTTTATATAAATTGTAGAAGACAAGACATTGCCCAGAAATACGGTCCGCTTATCGTTTTTTTGTCTATTATTTTTAGTATATGTAGTTACATATTTTCTATCAACATTAATTCATTTGAATATTCAATAGCAATTGCTACTATTAGATCGAATGATAAGTTAAGATATTTACTTATATAAGTTTTAATCTTATCGTCGCGGATTCCATTATAGAAGTGTTCGCGTAATATTTCATCTAAGCGATCTCTATAATTGCAATGAAACTGTATTTTTCTCAAACTATCAGCAAAGTGTTCTAATGTTTCATTTTCATACTGTTTACGACAATTGAAACGTTTTCTGTTTAAATAAATTGAATTTGACTTATAGAAATAACTAAGGTAAAGGTTTACTATCCTTTCATATGGAAGTGTAAAGAAGTTGGCACGAGGGTTACACGCTTGGATAGTAGCATGAACATCACTATGCACCATGTCTTGAAAAAATTTCACGATTACATCGCCTGATAAATCGAGAATATCTGCTCTGTATTCAAAAGTGTTTACCCACTCATAAAATTCTTCCCCATTTTTAGGATGAAACATTTTAATCTTTGAATCAGTTGGCTCTAGATAAGAATAGATTTGTTCAGTTTTCGATAGAAGAATTGCAATCTCAACCGATTCGTCAAATGAACAGCCATCACGGTTTCTTAAAATTTTTTTTATTTCAGCGTCGTATATTCCATTCGAAAATTGTACGGGTAATATTTTATTTAGTTCACTTATATGAGTGCACTTTTTAGATAATTCGTGTAAACAATTAGCATAACTTTCAATCGATTCTTCTTTATATTGTTTACGACAAAGAAGACGAGTTTCCTGTAAATCACTTTCATTCGAAGGAGAAAAATACTGGAGGTAACAAACTATTATCTTCTCGTATGGAAGTTCAGATAAGTCGATGGAAGGATAAGTCATTTTTACAGCTGAATGAACATCATTGTCTATCATATTATTGAAGAATACCAACATTCTATCGTCTGGTACTTTTGTTATATTTGCTACATACTCAAATTTATGTAACCAGTCATGAAAGTTGCCCGTATTTCTTGAGTTGTAAATATGAATCATGGAAAAAGCTGGATTTATATACCGAGCTAGTTCAATATCTTTTGCAAATTTCATGGCTGCCGCGTAACGCAATGATACGTCAGGAATTTCTATGAAATAGTTTTCCAATTCTATTTGTTCTAATTTAAAACAATATCTTTCAGCAATCCTCTTTTCTAGGTCATAGCTATAAGTTTCATTATTGTACATAGCTTTTATATTATCAGCATATTTTTTTATTGCTTCTTGTTCATAAAGGTTTCGATGCTGGAATGGTTTTCTTTTCGAAAGAATTTCATCTGAGTAATCAAAGTAAGAAAAGTAATTGTTTATTATCTCCTCGTATGACAGTTTCGTGAAGTTAATAGTTGGGTATTTCTGCTTGACACTTTCGTGAATATTTTCATGTACCATTTCGATAAATAATTCAGCTATTTTATCGTCTGGTACTTTAATTATATTTGCCAAATATTCAAATTTGTTCAACCACCACCAAAAAACATTTTTTTCATTTTGTTCATTATAATATATCATTCGAAAAGATTCAGTTATATAATTAGTTATTTCATCATCTTCGCGTAAAAGAGCTTCCATGTCCATTGTTTTTTTTTAAATAGAAAACACTTTATATTTCTTTTTGCACGAAAATCGGTAATATTATAAATTTTCTTTTTTCTGATTTTTTTATTTATATTTTTATCAATATTCTTAATACACTTTTCATAAAATAATTCGAAACACTTTTCTTTTAAAAACAGATATACGTGTTATATTTTCTGTTTTATTTTTTTTCACGTTTATATATAAGTATTTTAGAAAATAAAAAAATGCATGTTGATCAGAAAACTTGGAAGAATGCAAATATGGTTTAACACTCTCTATACAAAAACCATCTATATTAATGGATATCTAGTTCGGAAATGCTCATGTTTCCTTCCGGACTACATGGCCCAACGCACCCTAGCCCTTCCATGCATTTCAATGTGCCCTCGCATGCACCCTGTGTGTTCTTATAGGCGCTCTTAACTCTACTGACGCCACTTCTACTCAAACAATTTAGCGCGTTTTATAAATTCCCTACAATGACCAGTTTTAAACAATGACCACGTACGCTTTTTCACCCTAAAAAGTTCTAATTGAGACAATTTCCTGAAGTACTCATAATCAGTTCTTACGTGAATGTGGAATTCTCTCCTACCAGTCGTTCTTTCGAAAGTATATCTGGCGAACCTAAAATAGAAATTCCATTTATTTTGATGGAAGGTTTATTGTGGAGAAAAAATATTACTTTTCACAAAAATACAATATATTATTATAAATAAAATACGAAAACAAATACTAATACAATAAGACTAGAACGCTGTTTGATTACTAAACGCTAATTGCTTCTTAAGATCTTTTATCTTTTATTTTGTTTACATCACGCCACAAGGAACACTATTGTTATTCAACTGTTTACATTTTCAGGCCGATATTTTATTCCTGCTAGCGTTTAATACTCAAACTCTCTGTCGAGCATATACTTAAAATATATCTTACTCGACC